AGGTTTTATCCTTCTGAACGCTCTTGTGCCTCTGCCCACCTCCGGTGGCTTGCTTGTCCCTCACCGTCCACTCTTGCTGTTTGGGAGAGAGGTTCACGAGCAGAGTGTTCACGCCGATGACGTCAGCACCGATGGGACTCGTCCAACAACTGAGAGTAGGAGGCAAAGGTCTCATTTTCCGTGTTACAGGCCATCTTCTTTCTCTTTCTCTGCCAAACTTCTTAGCACCTTTACCATCTAGGTGATAAACTTATCGTATCATCTGCCTTAAAAGCACTGGCCACGGTAATTTGAAATCGGTCAAGCGATCAACCGCGAACGGGGAGGTGCTGACGGTACGTCAATAAAGAAAGAACCAAGAAGAGTGCACTAAAAATACTTGAAATGACGCAATCATTTTGTGTATGGATTTTTGGCGGTGGACGAGTTTACGATGGCATCATGGTCGTCCGTAAAAAAGAAGATACAGCACTTGTGAACGTGCCCCTGATGGATATTACAAGAGCAGGTCTCAGCCTCTTGGGAATATCGTCCTTCGGGCACATTTTCGTTCACGAAAGTTCACCAGCAATCCGAGATCCTCTCGAGATCGCGTAAGGTCTGTGAGACCAAAAGTTCTCGGGAAAGCACCCTTTCAATACTCGTCCATATCGTATCAGGGAGCATTTGAATTATCAACCTTGGAAAATCCTTCATTTGCGACCTCGCTTCAGCAAAAAATCACGGGTGATGGATTCCAACAGAAGGCGGTGCTCCAATGGCGAGATTTTCGTGCTCCAATCAAACAAATGTGCCCCAACTCGATTAAGTTTCAATTTTCGCAAATATCGCTTTGCTTTGCTTGCTTTTTCTGTTTTTTGTGTGTTTGCTTACGAGTGTAGTTCACATTACTCGATTTACATTATTCTCAGTGCGTAGATGTTATGTCAGTGACGTTGCACACCACAGCAGGGGATATTAAGCTCGAATTATTCTGTCAAGAGTGTCCAAAGGCTTGTGAGGTATGTTTGTTCGCATGGTTATGCTCATTCTCTGGTTCTTAGATTCACCTATTTTTCCTCCATTCCAGAATTTCCTTGCATTGTGCGCTAGCGGCTACTACAAGGACAATATCTTTCACAGGTACTTCTCCTGAAACTTTGGCAGTTTTGATTTTTTGGAAGCTCGATGCTTCTTTTTGCTTCTGTTGTCACTCCTCATCGTTTCAGAAATATCAAGGATTTTATGGTCCAAACTGGTGATCCAACAGGAACAGGAAAAGGCGGCAACAGTATCTGGGGAGGACCGTTTGAGGACGAGCTCTCGGTAGAGCTCAGGGTAAGTCCTGTTTTTGACAAATTTTTGCTATATATTCTTTTCTACGTTTGTTTAGCACGAGGGCCGTGGTACACTGTCTATGGCAAATAACGGACCGAATACCAACAAATCGCAAGTTCTTCATCACCTACGCAAAACAACCTCATCTTGACTTAAAAGTACACAGTTTTTGGGAAGTGAGTTGGTCAGGTTCCATAATTTGAAAACGATTGAAAGTTTCCGGGTTCCATCCAATAAGGGCAGTACCGGTGCGACGTTACAACGCGGCTGAAGGAACTTGAAGCCCTAAAGGTTGGTGGTGAAGCGGAAGCGAATGATTTACGCGAATGGTTTTCGCTCCGGATGTTTCTTCCCTGAAATTATAATTTCTGTAGGCGACAGCAACTGTTGCACTCCATACCCCCTTACCAGATCATACCCAGGTTTCCTTTACCATTCCTCCTCCATAACTTTCCAAAGATTGCGTTCATTTTGCAGAGTAATTGACGGATTTGACGCTCTCGATGAGCTCGAAACTATCAAAGTGGACGCCAAGTATCGTCCGGTTGTGGAACAGAGGTAGTTTCCAGCTCATAATTCATCCATGTCACTCACTGATGCTCTTGCCTCGAACGGTTTTCCAAATATAGCGAACCTTTGCTTATCGCAATCTATAAACCCCTAACAGCTCTGGTGCTCTAGCTTTCAGTGAGGATTCTTGTTGGATTAGGATTTCTACGCTCCACTGATGATGCTTCTAGGGGTTCGTCCAAGAATCGGCTCGTACTTTTTTGTTTGCAGTTCGAGTGTGAGGTCGATACCTATCGAGTCTGCAGTGGCTAGGTCTTGCGCGCATGATCGATACGTATATACTGCACGCTCTAACTGCAATATGTGACCCGACCTTAACGAACAGCGTACAAAGTAAAAGCAATACGGCGTGAATTTAGTTCGTGGATGTGGAAGCAGCGCAGTCCATATCTCACCCTCTAATTAGGCGGGTCTACCGTTTCACATGGCGGTCCGCATTTGATGGGAGTCTATGAATAATCTGTTCCAGAATGCTTTGCTGAGCTTCAACGAAGTGTGATGAAAGCAGCTTATCCACGCGTCTACTTTAGAGTGCGGCGCCTCCACATCAAGACGGTAGACCCGCTTAATCAGAGAGCGAATATGGACTGTACTGCCTCCACATCCACGTACTAAATTCACGCCGCATCGCTTTTACTTCATACACCGTTTGTTAGGGTCGGGTCCTATCTCACGTCAAATCCGTAGACCCGCCTAATCAGACGGCACGGCAAATATGGACTGCTTGAGGTACTGACCACATCTTTTGGGAGTCTTGGCCTTGGAAACGTGCTAAGCGTAACTTGCGATTCATAGAAGGCGGGATCGCACCTAGGGTTAAATTTGTGTTGCGAAGGGCTTGCATTGTGAGAAGTGTCTGTGTTTCCACAAGGGAAATTGTATTTGATGAGCTAGGCCTTGCCCTCTGGTAGGTGGTTATAGTATTTGAGAGTTCTGCATGGCGCCGCTATTGACCCTGATTGTGTCATACTCACAAGTTTCTGACCACGTATCAATTAGAGATTCTTGCTTGGGGTGTTTATATCGCTTTCCTATGCTTTTTTATTCCCTTGCAGGCTAGCCCTAACCGTAATTGCTCAAAGAGTAATATGCCATTTTTATAATATACTTTCTATTACCTCTCTGTGCTGTATTTCGTCATGAATGTTGTTGTCCGCTTTGGAAGGCTTCCGTGCGCTTGTAGCTAATTTGTGGGTTTTTGTTTTCGATTAAAGGACTCCCGATACCCGCGAACCCATTTGCTATCAATGGACGCAATATATTAAGGATATATTCGGTCACTATTTTCCTTCGTTAGTGCTTAGATATTTTACGTTTTCGATATTCTGAACCCACTAATATTGATTTAGCAGTTATTGTTATTCGACGCTAAACGAAGAATTAGAAGGACAGCAGCCAAAATCAAGCAGTCTCAAGATTACTTCAACCAGTACATAGAGGAATATTATGAAGAGGATGATGAAGAGATAATTCCTCCAGTGAAACCCGAGAAAATCAAAGAAGAGATTCGGTGAGTTACCTTGCTTCTGCGTTCTTTTTAAGATTATTTGGCAAATGATTATTGATTTGTTTCTCTTTTGAATGGCATCGGATAACAAGCTATGGTTTAAGTGTTAAGCGTCGAGTTGACGACGTTGTTTTTCTCTTTTAAAAAAGAAAGCGTTTGCGGCGACATTGTGTCATCTCACTTCGGGCGAAGATTGGACCCAGGAACGTGGAACGATGGTAAGGAATGTCTACGATGTATTTGCAAGAAAAAGTGCTACGTGGTTGACATACTTATCATGTTTGTGTAAAGCAATTTGTGCACATTTGGAAAACATTCTTGCTTTAATGGTACGCGAAAATAAACGGCTTGCAGTCTCTAAAGAGTCTGACGATTAAAATCGAAGTACAGGCTAAAGGCGTTTTCTTTTAGCCATGTTCTGTTGTAAGGGTTTTTTTTACAGAACGTCTCTTATGTGTCCTGCCGCGAATGTGAACCACAGACTGCCGTCTGAGCTCGGTCCAAATCCTGGAGGAGAAGAGAGTACTCACGACCTAGTGCATTGGAGTCAGAGGGGATGACCGATAGGTGGGACTAGTGAACCACCCCCGGGTAGGTTAGCCAATTACGGTGTAGCAAATGTCTAAATGTGTAAGATCACAGTAGTCGTAAGTCCTTGTTTAGCCGAGGGAGCGCAGTCGGGAGCATCAAATTGAGGCCGTTTAAACGACCGAGTTTAAGTACTCCGTGAGCGGAGGGTAAGAGCCCTAGGACTAAGCCTTGGAAGGAAGGACTCTGGGGTGGGTGAGCCAATTACAGTGTGGCAAAAGTTTGAATGTGTGAGATCACAGTAGTCAAGCCGCTGTTCAGGCGAGAGAGCGCAGGCGAAAGCATCAAATTGAGGCGGTTTAAAGGTACGAGTTCAAGTGGTCCGTTGACGTTTGTTCTGATTACGGCCAAAATAATCTCGTATAATCATAAGCAAAGTTGTGGTGAAATTCGATCATTCGTTCTAATCTTTCTAGTGAATTCCAAGGCTGATAATCATACCCAGTAATTAGTGTTTTTTTGTATTAAGTTCTACTGTTCTGGCTTTTCCAGGTCATCTGCAGCCCTTTCAACGCGAGGCATGGAATAGCGGTGGCCGAGGTGTTACGTAAAGCTGGAAAGTTGACAGACGAACAGGTGAATTACTCCACTTCTTCTCCAAGAAAACTCGACGATAGTCTTGGAAGGAGTTGGAGGGCTATTGTAGTATAATTATAAATTTACTCACATAAAACCCATGCTGTTGTACAACCCCTTTTAAATTTTGTTGGATTTTGGCTGTTAGTGAGATTCTTTCTCTATTTCGATATATGCTGAACATTTCCATTGCACTCAATGTGCTCAAACTTTTACCTTCGGCTACTGCGTTCTGCTCTCAAATCCAAGCTTGTAAGCATGTAAGGAGCGACCGCCGACAACGCACTGAATCAATAAATAAACAATAAATAACAAAATTATGAGCCACTGATGGGCAGCTATTAGAGGAGGTTAAACTCGCGAGAAGAGTTCCAATGTGCTAACAGTTATCGGTATTTCTTTCTGCGATGAAGCTCAGGAAAATAAGAACGGGCTCCAGAAACACATCTCCATGCAGATTATTCTTAGATTTTTCAGCCAAGGAAGTTAACCATACGTCACAGTTTTGGTTGGTTCCAAATCGAGTTGGGCAGAATTCAGGTAAAGTGTCTTGCTTTGAGAACTGATGCTGTCAAAGACACATTCCTCGATTGAATAAGTGTAGGTTATTGCTTCCAAAACAGCTAAAAGTATGTTCGTATGGGCGATGTTTGCCCCCCCCCCCTCTACAGGAATCCCATTGGTTGATCTCCTTTCTATAACGTGAATTACAGTAGCAGAGGAGCAGCTAAACACAGGAACCCATTTGGGAGGTGCACAATCCCCGCCCATACGGT